TATGAGTGTTATGCCTAATGCGAATGCTTTACTGACCCCACAAAAATTAGCTACAGTTAATAACATGTTTTCCTTTGAAAAAAATGTATAGTTAGCAACAATCTAGTTGCAGGTAATTTTATTGATAAGCGCTACAATATATTATATTTCTCTGATAAAAACATACCTTTAATAACCGAAATCTTTTAATAATTAATCTGCCTGATGTTGGAGATGGCCTATTCTTTCTTTTATTACGCATCCACCCCGAATTAAAAATAAATGATTAACTTCCCTACATCATTAATTTCCATTTCCATTATATTCCTTTATAACACCACCACAACACCGTTTAAATTATGTCATGGTTTGTAGGGGGTTTATTACGATTTTAAATTAGACATAGATGATACGCCATCTAGTGAAAAAAGAATTGAACCAATTTTATTGGATTAGTAAACTTTTATATCGAACCCCAAAGCACTATAAACGACATAAATGTAGTGATAAAAGACGATTTTTAACCTTTATATTTATCTTTATATTTTGATCTAGTGAAAAAAGAGTTGAACCAATTTTATTATCTAGTGAAAAAAGAGTTGAACCAATTTTATTGGATTAGTAAACTTTTATATCGAACCCCAAAGCACTATACACGACATAAATATGGTGATAACAGACTATTTTTGAGCTTTATTTGGAGGTCTTAAAAGTGGGCTTAACTCAAACCAATGTAACTTGAAGAACTGTAGACATTTAGGAATATTTGCTTAAGTTTATTCTTATTCAGTGACATATTGTGGTAAGTGACACTTATGGGGTTGGGTTAAATACACTAAAACCACCAGTTGCATCATTTTCAAAGGATGCTTCAAAGGTGATCAACGGATGATCACAGGTAAAAGCTTTTTTAATGCGGTGCGACAACTATAGATTGATCTTAATGTTAATCAAAAAAGATTGTGTACAATTTTAACAGCGCAAAGGTTTTGTTTAGAAAATACTGGCAAATTTTTATATGCAATCAAATTCAATTCAGTATGGTTCCGTGATATGCTTTGTTTAGAATATATGAAGTAGATTTACTATATATATTCGGCATATATTTGTAGCAATCTTCAATTGTAGTCTTCACGACAGTCCTGAATTTGTATTTTTATTAGTTACTGATTCTGGAAAATAGTGTATAAAGAGACTGCAATACATAATACAATTCTCTTCAGTTCGGCATATCAACCCAACCAACATCCGAAAATTTTAACAAAACATAACTGCGTTTCTTAGGTCCGTAGCCAACAACGATGTAAAACTAAAATTATTACTGCCGTGTCCATTTGACGTCCATTCTTTTCCAGGATTAAATTATTAGTCAGTTTCGGATACGCAGATGTGCCATCGAATACAAACTGAAAATCTAAATGTAAACGCACTGTACCTGATAGAAGAATAAGTATCTAGAGAGGAATCTTTTGAGTGCCTTTGACAAGATAAGAGGATGGATATTAGTAAAGCACCAATTAATTTATTTTTACACATTCACTCCATTTAAGTAATACGGCAAACTGTCTATTACACTTCTTCTCGCAATACAGACATTGAGTTAGACTGAAGAATTCTACGAAGCACAGAATCCTTCCGTTCCTCCCTGATTGATCAAATGAAAAGACGTCTGTAATACTCTGTAAAGCCACTCCATGTTCTTATAAAGACTTAGAATTGAAACCAGTAAGGGCTTAGAAGAAATTGTCGACCTAGTGAATTATAATCAATGATCAGAGTCAGAATCATGATCAAGAGTTATAACATGGTTAGATTGGCCTCCCTTTCCCTATGCACATAAAACAACTATGGTTAACCTACTGCTAATTTTTAAAGTATGTAATCAACCATAATATACAGGTGTTAGTGTATATCTAGATTTAATACCTCGATTTTCGATTAAATAAACTCAAAACTTCTAGTTTTATTTTTTATTAATTTCTATTTTTATTAATTCAAATAAAGTATCATTAAATATCAATTAACCACAATCTAAGAATGATTAATCCACAAAAAAGAGTAGATGTAAAGTGTATGTGAATGGAATAAAAATTATATAAATAAAAATCTTGGTGCTGAATAATTAGATCATAAAATAACGTGTAAGTTAATCTAGATTAATCATATTCACCTTAAATTTTATAACACTTAAACAATAATCATCATCAATTTATCAGATGTTGCAGTATCTATAAATACTATAGTCATACAAAACCATGAAGCTTATCCTCCTCCACTTGTAGAACCATACATTTACGTACGTTACACAAACAGATCGGTATAGAGGTGAGCCTCTGAGCCTGTCACGTGAGAACAATACGGTAAACTATTTCTCACACAACCCAACGTTAAAGGGGGTACCGAGAACGTATGATTAAAGGAACGGGTGCGACAAGGACGCGAATATTACGTCCGGACTACTTCCACCGATGCTACCGACTCCGTCACGTGTGGCGAGGGCATTTCCGGTCAGGGGTGCGTTATGGAAATGTATAAGGGGTCCCCCATATACCTACATACGAAGCCGCTATATTACGTGACAAGTAACGGATCGCGGGAACAATTACAATTTTATATCGGAACTAGAGGAAAATTCCAACAGCCGATCAAGCGAGGAACCCTCCTTTCATTTCTACTAATGTTAGGTGATTTATTTGATGTCGGAGGGTTGATGGGATTCATTACGAGAAGTATCATCATCTTAACACGATCCAAAATTATTATTTAGAACAATTTTTAATGATCCTATGTCCCTTAAGGCAATCTTTAATGTAAATTCTGTGGTTTATTAATTATAGAAACATTAATAATTCTTAAAGGATTACTTTCAATATCATTTCATTTAAATCACCTTATTTAGAATGAAACCGCTTTTTGTTCTTTTCCAGGTGTTTTTAATGGAACGCCACCAAATAATAGGAATTCATAGTTTCGTCGGTGGTCCACAAATCTAAAAAGCAAATCTGACGTTATCATCTTGAAGAGTCGATGAAGTGAAGATAGCGAAGCAGTAAAAGTTGGCCGTACCCCAACGAGGGTCGGCAAGCTTCTGAAAGGAAGCAGAAAAAATGGGAAATAATAACGGTAACCCACCGCTCCAGCTTCCTCCCGGTGAGCCGGTCACACGCCCTTTGTATATCAGGTTTCCCTTAATGAGTTAAATAGTAGCCAAACAGTGGAGAGGACCCTTACTTCATTCGGATACCTCTACCTGCCTCAAAGAAGACGGTCTCTCGTCGCGTCTTCTTCAGTAGATGGTTCTCTCACTCTGCAGGTCACGCTCAATAATTGTTGCATTTTCTCACGGTCCAAGAAAATAAACTCAAATGTACGCTCAAAAAAGTGTTAAAGATAAAAGAAAATTAAGAAAATTTTGTTTCTTATATTATTTATATTATATTATAAAACTTTTTATGTCTGTAATAAATATTTCATCACATATATGATGTTTTAAAAAACACAAAAACAAATTGAGAAGAAAACAAAATTATCAACTTGTTTATAAACAGTGTAAACACTATCGAGGGTGTTTTACCTAACCTGCCATTGAGGTTTTATTACATCCTGTTAAGGAGAAGGTCTGGTACAAAAGACATACAAAAGAATCCACCGAGAATAGATGGGTTTCTTAAGAAAGAATTATTTGCCGAGCCCCTTGAGATGTGGGTCACGGGGAGAAAAATGTTAGCTGGTGCAATGATCTCAAGACGGAGGGTGAACTTCTTGAAGAAGGGCGACAGCGTGTTAATCGTAGGGGTGTTGATTCCAATTCTTATGCGGATAGAGTTGTATTATATGGCACTTAAGAGTGATTTGTTACCGCGAGAAAAGAAACGTCATCTCGCACGCTTCCATTCAATTTATATTATTATAGGGAAGTGGGCGAGGACACTGTTTTAAATCAATATTATAACGAATTCGAAATTGTGTTAAAGATAAAAGGCATTATAGAGGTTGAGATTGGAGTGAAATTGTGACACAAAAACTTGGGTAGATTGAATATCCGTAAAAAGAGAGATGAATGAAATCGAGTTATACGGTCTTTTTTATGACTGAAAAAAACCTTTGTTAAAAAGGATGGAGAAAAAACGAAATTTAGTGGTTTCAAAGAAACGGTCAATGCCTATTTTACCCCATTTTATATAAAAAAATAAGTTGAATAAAAGGAACTATAGAGATGAGTGAGATAACACACCGTCTTGGTATAACATAAACGAAGATCTAGATGAAAGGTGAATTATTACTTTTTATGTTATAAAGTATTAAAAAAATAAGGGTGAAAATATTTTTTCTTTAGAACGAATAAAAAATCGTAGTTTTAGATTTTTTTATTATGAAGTTCAACACATCACGAGATACAATGAAGTGAAGCATTAAAAATCTTTGAAAGTATTTCAAAATGGTAATTAACTTTTACAAGGGCAACCCTTATATATCATCATTTTCTTGAACACTTATAAATGACCTTCAGGTAGTCAGAAACGAGAGCGTTTAAAAGAGAAGTATAAAATCACGTGCATTAATGAAGAAACTTGAAAGAAGCCGCTCGGAGATCAATATAAATAATAATGATTTGGCTTGAGCGTAGTCGCGGTCGGTAAAGGGCTAAGCTAAATGTACTGCCGGACCTTCGAATCTGGAAGAGGTCATGATCCAAAGATGGGAAAACCATCGCCGGATAATAACTGTATTTAATATCGTCAATACAATCCGTAAAATCGAACAATATGCCTCACAATGAGCGCAGACTTGAGGGCTCTCTCGGCGTGGGAACCGACGCCGTCTTCTTCGTGTGAGTGTAGGCTGCGGTGTGTGTGTGCGAAGGTATTCTACCCCGTAAGAAGAGGGGTTCACAAGGTAAAAGGTCCATGCCGACACACAACTACATGAGGACTACCCATCTCGTCGACACGAGGTTCGATGGTGGGGGATTTTTGTCCAAAAAGTTCCCACGCTGTATCGGAATGTCGTTCGGGCACAGCTCGCTGAGACCACAAAACCGAGCTGACCTCTCGACGGGGTTGTTTCGTTCCTCGCTACCCAGTAAAAACTCCGCAAACTTCGGTGGAGTTAGATCCCAGTTTGGACTTATAACACTAAATCTACAAGTGTCAGTGCTAAGTTAAACTCAGTGTTTCTAAAATACGTGTTCTCATATTTTCTTTGTTGGATTACATTTTATTCTTGCGCAAACGTAAGTGTTTAACATTACAAAACTAAATATAATTTGAAATTTAAATGTCTTCCCCATACGATAAAATGGTTATAAAGACCTGCCATCTATACCCAAATAGCTCAACACCACCTACATTCTCCTGTAATTTTGATTAAAATTTCAAATTTGCTTTATTTTTTCAGTATAACCACCAAAATGCCAATCAGCGAAGACGAATTCGATCAAAACTCAGTTCCTGAGCCAACATCCACAATGTCAAAAGCTGAATTGAGAAAAACTCACAAACCAATTATGGAAAAAAGACGAAGGGCTCGTATAAATCAGTGTTTAAACGAAATAAAATCTCTGATTTTAGAAGCACTCAAAAAAGACGTAAGTAATATTACCAATTTATTACAAAATTGCTTATTTATTATTAGCTTTATTCTTGAAATTTTTTTTAAATAATTTTTTTAATTGCAGCCTGCAAGACATTCTAAATTAGAAAAAGCAGATATCTTAGAAATGGCAGTAAAACATCTCCAAAACGTTCAAAGACAACAATTAGCAATGGCCATGGCAAACGATCCAACAGTTCTAAGAAAATTCAAGACAGGATTTAATGAATGCGCCAGAGAAGTTGGTCAATACATCGGTCAAGTTGACGAACAAAAAACGGGATTAAAAGATCGCGTTCAAACCCATTTAACAAAATGCATCAACAGCATTGAGCACATAGCTAAATACAATGCACCAGGAGCTGGATCTTTACCTTTCCTATCAAATGGCGTTAACATATTTCCACAATCCAACGCAACTGACGTTTCGAATTCTGACGATCAAAACAATAATCCACGAGTTCAACTTCCCCAGGGAATACAACTAATTCCAAGTAGATTACCAACTGGAGAGTTGGCGTTTTTATTACCAAACTCAAGTAATTTATCATTTTCAACGTCCGGTGAAAAATCTGTTCCAAATTTGGAGCTAAAATCGTCGGATAGACCAAGTGCCTTCGCAGCTGTGATACCTTCTTATGTTGTCCAAAAACAACAAGAAACCAAACCGTTAAGTCCTCCTTTAAGTCCTAAAGACGATGTTATTATCATCGACCCACCAAGATCCCCATCACCGAGAGGGTTTCGACCTGTTAACCCAACCCTACACAAATCTTATCAAAGTGCATTTATTTCAACTGCAAACCTCGGATCTCGCGGAATAGACAGATTAAGTGATGATGAATTAAAATCGATAAGATATCCAATTCATAAATTTTCCAGTCCTAAAAAAACCGCAGAACCATTATGCATCATCACCAACCACTCGGAACGGTATAAACAAGCTCAAGTTTTAGATGAATCCTCTAATTTCCAAGAAAATATTCGTCATGGTGTTAAACGAAAACATATTGATAATATCGATCAATCCCAAGGGTTACTTACGGTTGTTTCTAACGAATTTTTATATCCAAACAAAATTCGAAAAACTAGCATGGAATCCCATCCAAATAATTCTAGATCCAGTGAAGATTTATCTATTGCAAAAAATATTGAAGATCAACCGTCGACAAGTTCATCATCATCCGGGGGACCATCGCAAGAACATAGTGAAAACAGTAATGATATGTGGCGACCGTGGTAATTGATTAATGTGTTTTGCGCAAAATTTTAAACTAATTATTTTTAATGAGTAAAGAATTACCATGTAATTTAATGTAGTTTAATACCTGTGAGGATTTGTCAAATGCCAAGATCTACTTTCAATGTCAATTTAAAACAATCTCAATAGTCTGTATTGATATGTAACCAATTAATAAAATTGATGTTAAAGAGGGTTTTGTGGCAATGTGATGGCAATTAATTAACTTGTGATGCAGACATTGTGAATACGTTATAGTTTATAGTGTATAATAAACCATTATTTTATGATCTCGTTATATTTTCGTTTTATTTTTCCTTGTTACTTATTAAATGGGATAAGAAGTACTTATCTAAATTTATTTTAAAAAAATGAATATAAATTTAATTTCATATACAATATTATTTACAAAAATTAATTATCAAGTTAATTCAAATATCAATAATACCTTTAATTATTAAGATTAAATATTTAGATAGATTAAAAATTTTATTCATAATTAAAAAATTAAGCAATAAGAAAATTAGTGACTATACAAAACAGCCTGAAGAACTGGTGAGGCTAGGCACCATAAGGAAGCAGCCCTTCTCCTGGTCTAGGATTCTAAAGTTCAATAAAGTACAGTTCGTGAATAAAAAACCTTTCTGCAATACGTTAAGAGATAGACCGGACGAATTACGGCGACGCCAAGGTTCGTCGCCGTAATTTGCAGAAAGCAAAATGAGATGGAATGTGGAATGTGCTAACAAAATGTATAGGTATGCTGACGGGTACAAAACCTTGCAGTCTGGCATGCCAAATGATGGGGACGACCATGTACGTGGTGTGGTACTTATCCTCAGTAAGATCAAGAATGCTCTGATAAAATGGGACGCGATAAAACGCATGATGAGCGCAAGATTGAACACAAAATACAAAAAAACCACAAGTGTGCAATGTTATGTACCCACTGAGCCAAGCCAGCTTGAAGAGAAGGAAGCTATTTACGACCAATTAGATACAACACTTTCTAAAATATCGAAAGGCGATACTTCTGTTCAATTAACCATACCTTGGAACATAAAATATTATTGAATTTCAATATATGCCTAGTTCCGTTTTTGCCAACGCCTGGTCACTGATTGGAGATATTGGGAACAGAACACATCTTCTACAAAATTCGATCTAATTCAGGTATCTCATGTGTCTCCCATTTCTACATCAAATTTCTGCAATCCAAATTAATATTACATCCCTCTTTATGTACTAAATCAAACATTTTCTGATGTGTCTCCCATTTCTACATCAAATTTCTGCAATCCAAATTAATATTACATCCCTCTTTATGTACTAAATTAAACATTTTATGTACTTGATATTTTAATTATAACAACAACACGTAATTGAATTATTGCGCTTGGGTGGCTTTGAGTTGATCAAATTAATACGTAATACCATTAATTTGCAGAAATCATTGACATGTCAAGAAAAGAGAACTTCTGCTTTATTGGATCATGAGGAAAATGATTTCATAGAAGTACTAGGATTTAATTGAAATCCTCAGATCGACACTTGGCTGTTGTTATGTCACTATGCTTATTGTTGCAAAACCACTATTTTTTTTAATATTGCAGATATTGAAAAAACCATTTAACTTTTATATATTAAGTTCTAAGCATCCAATACAAAAGCTGTAACTGGAAAAATTAGAGTAGCATGATATTTAAGGGAAGCAAAAATATCGAGTTGAGTTCTGAACGCTTCATTCCTAGTTTAATTGCTACAAAAGAACAAAACGTATTAATTTCCTTTAAATTTTATGTAATTATACAGTTTAATTTCCATTCTGTAGTAGCGTTGGATTGAAAATAACAAATTTGATTTGCTTCATGTCAGCAAAATATTCAAAAAGCAACAGTCAAAAACAGTATAATAATTAACTATTAACTAACTCTAATGTGCAGTAGATTAATTTAAAACTTTATTTTATTCAAATAGTAGATATCTCTAAATGCAGAATTCTATACTTAATAAATTTATATATACTCTAATAGATGGCGCTGTCGACGTAATAAAAAAGCGGGAATTAATCTGGTGTAATAACGAATTTCCTACATAACCTAACAGTGTAGTGCATAAACAATGACGACTGAAAAGGTAATTTACATTAAAACACTATTAATTTGTCGTGCAAATTAGACGTGGATAAAACGAAAGGTGCAAATTGCACTCTTGGACTAAGCAATTTACCTCGCCATGCAATTTCAGTTAATAACCGTTGTTACTTATTAACGCGGACCCCGTAGCCACAAAGGCTAATCAATTGTATTCATAATCGATGGATCGTAATTTCTCGCGCGATTAACTTGTTTGTAAGCGATTTCAAATTAATAACTATGTCTCTCAAAATTACAGAAATTAAAATCGAGTATTTATTCGGATGTGCGCGGTATTTGCAAAGATACCGCACAGAAGTATGAAATGGAGTTTGATCAAAACGCGATGGATACAATCGGGGAATTAACTTGGAAAAAATTGTTATTGTATACTCAGGATTTAGAAGCATTTCATAAGTAACAATTAATTTATCACAACATGATTATATATTATGTTATATTGTTTTGAACTTTTTTTATTGTAGACACGCTAAAAGATCTGCTGTAACAATAGATGATGTTAAATTACTTTGTAGGAGAAATACGTCATTGGTAATGTAACATGTTAATTTTTATATATAAATACCTGTTTTTTAATGAAATATAGAAAGAATTTATGGAAAAAGAATACCCCTCTAATTCTTCAAAAGATGGAAGTGGAGCTACTAAAAGAAAGAGAAAAACCTCCAACGTTGTTACACTAGACTAAGTTATTATTTGTTATAACACCTAGTATTATATTTTCTGTTTTGTTAATAAACACAATAATTTCGTACCTGAAATATTGATTTCTCCTTCGTTAGAATTATTACTTGTAGGTATATCTATGGTGAATTAAATTAATAAAAAGGATTGAATTATTAACGTAACGTTCCAAGAAACATGTTAACGTCAATAAACCTATTGCTTATGTGGATAATGTGTATAATCGTTTAATTTTCCCAAGACGTGGAAAAACCACTCCTCATTACTATTCATTAGAGCAGATTAATCCGCGGAATCGGAATTAATATCAAATTAGCATTTAAAGAGAAAACGCCTAATGATAATAGTGATTATTATTTACTGGTAGCCACAAAACTTCCTACGTAAATGCGCCATCTACCTGGTGCGGCCCGGTTGAGTATTAAAACGATTCGCTCGAGGGCGCTACCGACGTCGTCGTCATCACAGTTTCCCTCAGCACGCTAGATTGATATTAATTATCGAGCAATAAATATCAACCCTGTTAAAAACGTTGAAAAACTATTCCTAATTATAGGTTGAATAATTAAAATGCGTTCGCAACGCTTATTAATTCGAGTATTAACCAAATAAATTTCCGTACGCAACGTTAAGACAGCGACGCACTCGGCGCACGCCAATTTGCGTTTTAATTAGCTATACAAAATTGTGATTAATAGCTACTGGGTTCGCAACGAGACCAACAGGCCAAGATGGGCTAAAAGTCATAATTACGTATTATTACTATGATTCGCTCGTTTTCTTCCTTCATCTGCCTTGTACTGTAATATTTTTTAGTCGGTTTTTAAGACGTCAGTACTCGGTTGCATCCTTTTTTGCAATAGAACATGATAATTGCCCCCCTCTGTGTATCCCTACCGCACGAATTATCTGAATTATTTATGGTGATATTTGAATTTTAAATGTTTCGACGCAATCACCTAAAATATATTGCCGGTAGCGCCGTGTTGCTGTCTGCGGGTGTGTACCTGTTGAAATTGCTGGCAAAGACAAAAAGAAAGAACCGCTAAACAGCGACCGACGCTGTAGGGTTGTAAATTTCACAATTACTTCTAAATTTATTTACCGTCGTTATCATTACTAAAGAATCTACGGATTGGTGCGGTTGAATTTGGCCAATTACCTATGGAAATTTCTTGTTATATCTCATACTTTGATACCCACTAATTACCAACATACGTCTTAATACACAAAGAAGTAACAGCGAAGAGTAAGGATTATAGTTTTTGCCTCATTTTAATAAATCAAGATTTTTACTCCTTTATGATTTACTTCTTTTTTTTATATAACCTTACACACTTACATTAATTTTATGCGGTTATAATCTAATAATTAATCATTACTCATAAAACCAACTTTATTTTTATTTTTTTGATCTTGCGTGCACTGTCATTATTTACACTTCTTTATTATTTTATAAAGTTTTGAATATTTATATTATGTACTTTTGCGTGAATAAGCGCCAATAAATTATGAAGTTTTTTATTAAAACAACTTTTCTAACATAAAATAGACATAATATTTAAATGTTAAAATCCTGTAAGCATAATTTTACGAAGTGATAAAGTGGGAATTGAATACAGAAGAAGCGATAACTTAGGTTTGAAAGTGGTAAGTCAGGACTGCAACTAAAGTAAAGAAAAAAGTGTGAGATTTGCTGTAGTCGGTCGCGCGTAGCTTACAATACGTTAATTGCACGACTCGATTGCCTGTTATGGGAATCTCCGTTTGCATCAACAGTATAATAATATTAAATCAGCGAGATATCTTCTAATTTCTGTGGGCTTCGTCCGGTTAATTGAATTGAAATGCGAGCAAAGCGTCCCGATCGAGAAAACGCTACATCAGACGCAAATAAGTATAGCTGGTTTCGCAGGACGAGCTTCTCCTCCGCAAGCGGTGACATAAATTAAGCAATGCCGATTATAAGTATCGGACAGACTGCGTTCGGTCGCTCAGGTCCTCGTATTTCTTTGCCTTTTAATGTACCATGTAGAGCAACAATTTATTAAAGTCAGCTCGAGTATAGATCGATGGTAGATGAGAGGGACAGCCGGTAGGTTGGCAGTACTCCGACCGTTCGCGATACGGCGGCCAAGGGATATAATTATCACCGATAGATGCACGCAATTAAGCACTTAAAAGGAGGATGTACCATTATAATATAATCAATATCTACACTTGTATGGGGCCAAGGAAACCGAAAGGTAAAACGCTAACCATATTTTCTTTGTAAAATTCTTCACCAAAATGTTCGTTTCTATAATATAATTAGCCGTTTCTCTTCACTATAAATGAAGCAATCTTAAGCACAGAATTAATTACAGTAATTAATAAAAATATAAAGAAATAAACATCCTCCAAACAATGAGTTAATGATTTGTAATGAATAAACGTTTATGAAAGCTTAAAACCTTATCTTCTCATCGTAAGAGACTCATTTATGGCAATAAAGTACTGAGTACACATTATCGCAGTGAATACCAATCCGTTTATGACTGTAGTAGTGGTGACAACCACTATAAATCCCACGAAGAAGGCATATAACTCCTTAATAAAAAAATACATCTAGGATCTTCAAAAATTATCATTCCTGAAAAGAAGAAAAAAAGTTTACAGGAAGAACTAAAAAGTACTAAAAATGTCCTCAAGACAAGCAATATTTTGTTTGTGATAGATGAAAGATACCAGGACTTGCTTTTATCTTTAAGAAAAAAGGATCTTTGCGGATGTTTTCTATTCCTTCATATTCCTTGGCTGCAAGCGCGTCTGTTCTTCTAGTAACGATCGTCCATAAAACAAACATCCTGTTTAAAACAAACATCGATCCCGTAACTTCTTTATTTTGCTGTAATGCGTGGATCAATTAAATATTAAATTTAGATACTTAAGCCATTCAGAACGAGTTGTGGGATGCAAGGACGGTTGACTCCTTGGCATATTTTCCACAAATCCTTGTTGATGGCTATTGGTAATTACTTGTACTCGACTTGGAGAACACAAGTCCTTTCAAATATTTTGGACGGAGGTTGCACCTCTTAACTTGTACATATAATTCGTCCCCGAGGTTATCAATGGTGGTCCTCGCAATATGACACCTAACCTTGTCGTCCTGAAAGGAACACATGGAAGAAACACATTCTTGTCTAAAATTGTATTGTAGGCGACGGAGTTCATCTTACCATGAATTAAATTTAGTAGTCAAAGGCAATGGCTACTAAATGACTTCCTCACCGATCGTACTCATCAAAACAACACTACCGGACGATGCGGCCGGTCTCTATCTACCAGTTTAGCGAATCTGCCGACTCGGGAAACATTCAGAACCTTAATATCATATATGAATTTTGTTGATTGAATTTAATGTTTATTAATTAGTTAAAAGTGTTTAAATATGATTAAAATGATCTAAAATAAAAAGTTTATTGTAGCTCACACTATCAGTTTATCAAGTTCATTGATTAGTTAGTGACATTTGTTATACATATAGTTATAGGTGATGCTTCACCACAGCTACTCGTATAGTTAGCGAATCCCCGTGTATAGCTTTAAAACTTCCATAAAAACTTTGATTGCTGATCTTATTTTAAGGTAACTCAGTAGATGATGAATAAAATATATCATATAAATTGCGGCAGCGTCTACAAATTATGTAAATACGCAAAACGAAAGTCAAGATGGCTAGATTAACGACACTATACGCTTGAATCAGCCGTCCGGTGATAAATCGTAGATAATGACAACATTGCGAAATACACACTGACAATCAAACGAGATCGTTTCGTTCGGTTACTATCTTATACTAAACTAGTTTATTATATTTATATGTATATTGACTTAATACTACTTAATTATTAGAACTTAAAATATATGTTCATAACGAAAATGTAAATAGTAAGAGAAGAAAATTAGATTGAAAGTGAGCAGGTAATATGAAGATAGGTAAAAAAATTAAATATACTTGGAAGTTTTGTAATTGTTTTTTTGCTATATGCTGTAAACTATCAATTATGAATAATTCTGTATGATTCTCAAATTATTTCAGACAGGCACTGATATTGATTAAATTTAAATTGGCAATAAATGAACATCTTTATTATCACATTGGGATACCTAGTATATGGAAGTAAGAAAGTAGAAGTTGTCTCCAAGATCAATCTTACTTTTAAACTTGCTTTAAGACACGTAACAAATAAAGAACAATCTCACTAATCCCGCTCATTAAAAATCATGATAAGGCAAGCAATAATTTTTCAGCGAGCATCAACATGAACGAAGACAGCATCGACTTAGTATCACAGGCGAAGTGTTCAAACAATTTCCTAAAAAAGGCCGAAGCTTTGTAATCATTTTTTTAGTATAACTGCTGAAAACTATCAATTATGAATAATTCTGTATGAATCTCAAATTGGCTCCTAAATAAGACAAGCTTATTTCAGACAGGCACTGATATTGATCAGATTATGCATTGCTGTATTGATATTATCGATGAATGGATTCGATCGTATGCTTACGTTGCATTATTGGAAAAAGTGGCACCTGCTCGAGTAGTATTTCCTTGTTTGCAATTGGGACCGCTTCGGTGCTCGATTAGTTTTGTAAATTATTGCCGCAAATCACAAACAAAACACATATTTACGACGCGGCTGCCCGTCGCTATCGAACGACTCTAATTCCCAACCAGGTTGCATAGAGTCGCGGAAGGCACCTAAATCATTCGAAAAAATTGCACTTGTTTATGACTGCGGACGCCGCACAGTCATAGTCGAGCCATCATAATTTAACAATTGGCCTGTGCGAAATCTGTTGAAGGGATTTTCGAACCGTACCGGGAGAGTAATCGCTTAGAAAGTTACGCTAAGACGTACAATCAGTATACAGGAGTAGTAGTTATTGAGCCGGCAGGAGATCGATAATATTGAGGGGAAATTGCACCAGGAAGGCGAAACTACTATTAAGGTGTCAATACACCGTTAGATGTTAAAATTACCGATAGAGTTATACTTACCAACTATACATACCAACAATTGTACATTTA